CAAGGATTTATGTGCCTAATTTTAGGTACCCAGCATTGAAAATTGCGACCTTGATGACTTGACCAAGAGTCACAGACAAGAATGCTGCGGAGTCACTACCAGAGCAGAGTAGAAAACTCCTGACTCACAGTTCTATCCTCTAAACATACTAGCTTCCTCCTTATTGGAAGCCTCTTTTCAAATTACATCAGGCCTGCTAAAAAGACTGTACAATGTAAATCCATACAACATATAGCATGTACGAGGGGACTGAGTTAATGATGCTTTTGAAACTTTAACATTGCATTTCTTGATTTATTTTAATTTTAACTGACCAGCTGTAGAATTGCACTTTTGTGTATATTTTTACATTATATAACCTGCAGTCATGCATCAAAATCACTGGGAGTTTTGCCTGCATAAGCTTCAAAAGTAGCATGTTCGGTGGAGCAGGCGTTTTCCCATCATGTTTTTTGAGATTTCCATCTGCATTTTAGTGAATATTGAAAGGTGAGTCTTTTCTGGATACATTTGGTTTAATTCAATATTATAATGGGAGTTAAGGAAGAGTTGACATTTTAGAAGCAAGTAATTTTGTGACTCTGGCATAGCAATTAGACCCATGAAGCTTTGTAATACTACTGACTGACAGAGCAATAGGGGAAACTGAAGTCACATGAATCTGTCTCAAAAAAAAAAAAAAAAAAAACCCCTGTTTTGTAATCCATGAACTTTTATTTTTACATAAATACATAGAATTGTTACTAGTTAGTTTCTCTTCCCACAATTTTATTAGTTCCCTCTTATCACAATTTCTCAGCTATAGTTTGAAGTACAGAAAATGCAGGGGGTATGACTATTCACCTGAAGAATAATCAGGGCCGGCTCTGGCTTTTTTGCCGCCCCAGGCAAAAAAGCCTCCGGCCGCACCCGCCCCCCCAGCGGGGGGGGGGGAGGGCGGCCGGGGCCCCGGGGGGGGGGGGGGGGGCCCCGCCGGGGGTGCGCCCTCCCCCCCGCGCGCGCGGGGGGGGGCGCCGGGGGGGGGGGGGGGGGAGGGCGGCCAGAGCGCCGGGGGCAAGGGCTCTGCTCTCCCCCCGGCGGCCAGAGCGCAGGGGGCAGGGCGGCGAGAGGGCGGGCTCGCCGCTCTCCCCCCAGCGGCTGGGGGGGGGGGGGGGCGGCCAGAGTGCCGGGGGTCGGGCGGTGAGCCCGGCCGTGGCCCCGCTCTCCCCGGCGGCCAGAGCGCCGCGCCGCCCCCCTCCAGGTGCCGCCCCAAGCACAAGCTTGGTGGGCTGGTGCCTGGAGCCGGCCCTGAGAATAATAGCTCTTCAAAAGGGAGGGAAATTTGTGAACATGCAACATTATGTCTACTTCAGTTAGTTCAGCAGATATTCTATTATATACAAATAATGATAAAATAACATTAAGGTTGAAAAGTCAAGCACTCAAAGTTAAGAAATACTAGAATTAAGGTTGTACAGACAACCTTAATTCAGCCCCACTATGCATACACATTACGATTGTCTTACCTAACATCATGTAGCAAATCTGTGGCAGAGCAATGAACAGAACCCAGTTCTCATGGGTCCCAGTGCAGTGCCTCAAACACAAAAGAACAGCTCTTCAATTCTCAAAATTCTGTGCCTCATTTATTGTCGATCCCTGTTCACTGAATGAGGCTGGGGAGTTGTAGAACACATAGTACACCTCTAGCCCGATATAACGCTGTCCTCGGGAGCCAAAAAAAACTTACAACATTATAAGTGAAACCGCGTTATATTGAACTTGCTTTGATCCGCTGGAGTGCGCAGCCCTCCCCCCCGCCCCGGAGCGCTGCTTTACCGCGTTATATCCGAATTCGTGTTATATCGGGTCACGTTATATGGGGTAGAGGTGTATATGATCACGTAACAAAAGACTGCATCACAATACATATACACAAAGGGACCAAATTAAGGTTACACAAGCAATGCTAATTCTGGAATTTCCTGGACTTCAAACTTTATTCCTTAGAGGTTCTTTTTATGTAATTTCTTAAGTGGTAGTGGTGTGTTTTGGGGTGTTTTTTTTAAAAGAAGCAAATGGATTCCATCATGTTGGAACCATATTCACCCCGATAGGGATCATCTGCAGGGTTCTAGATTCAAAGCACAGATCTCTACCACTTTAAAAAGGAGCAACTGTTAGCAACAGTATAATATAATCCAGTATTCCAACTGCAAGAGGGGAATACAACACGCAGTTTGCAAGTGGCTTATATAATTATTTGCTAGATATCTGAGAAACTTTGGGAATGAGGATACCTAGGTTCTATTTCTAGCTCTGGAGTGGACTGTGGGTTAGTAGCTGTAGACACAGCACAGATAAGCACACAGATTTAACGCTTTCTGTCTAAAGAACAGTGTGACTGAGTGAATAATACCTGTGTCTCCCATACTAGAGATAGGGTTCTGTTCTCAACTCTGCCAGAAGTGACCATCTGTAACGTCTCAGTTACCCCAACTATAGAATAGGAGGATTACTCCTTGGCTGTTCCCTGATTTAGGAGTGTGAAACTTTAATGAAGACTATAAAGTACACATAATTAACACCATCAGTCAGCAGAAGGCATCCTCCTGGGCTCCCATCCCAGTGGACCTTCCCTGAGGTCAGAGGTGAGGGCATTGTTGCTACAGTGCCTATATCCTGTCCGAAGCTCTAGCTCTGTGCCTGGCAAGCAGGAAGCTGAGTGGGTCCTGGGACTATGATCAGTGCAGTTGACATGTAGGAATTCCCTAGAGCTAGAGAATGCTCAATGCAGACTGCACATAGAAACTTGGGCTGAAAATCTCTCTCACTGGACCAACTTCTGTTGATGAGCAAGACAAGCTCTTGAGCTACACAGAGCTCTTCTTCAGGATATATTTTGATAAAGAGTAAAAAGCACCTCCCTGCCCCCAAGCAACCCCCTGTCAAAGTCAAGTCCTGCTCCACTGCATGGAGATACAACCATTTCTTTTTATGGTGCTACAAATTTAGCATTGACAAAACAACCTATTTTTCTCTAATTTGTTCTCAGAAATGGCTAAAGCACTTTTGCTGTAACCTTCTTAAAAAAAAAAAAAAATCAGTCTGAGGCAGAGATCTTGTATCAACTTTTTTTTTTTAATTTGAACAGTTAGTTTGGCAAAGATACAAAGCTACTGAAAATTGGGTCTCAAGGGGGAAAATGTTAGACTAACTCCAGATGTTGCTGTCAGTGCTCCCTATAACCAAGGATAGAAAACAAAGTGAAATTAGGTGAACAGCTTGCCGCTATGGTGAATGGAACCTCTGACCCATCACCCTTTACTGAACATAGAATACTGCAGCATTTACAGAAGGCATAATTGTATATTGGCTGTTCCCTGTTGTCAAGGAATATTCATATAAATCAGTGTCCATAGGCCACTGGTGCTCCACAGAGAGCATACTGTGGCTTGCAGAGAGCTATCTGGTTTTCTTATTCAAACCTACTAAGTTACATTATAGATAATTACAAAATATTAAATATCTTCCTAATATTAATTTTCCATGTAAGCAATTGTGGTAGGTGCGACAGGGAACTTATGTGGTTGAAGACAGGAGGGAAAGTCTGCACAGGCACTAATGGGAGGGGAGATGGTGCTGAATGATTGTCTGTAGGGAGGGGAGATGGTGCTGAATAATTGTCTGTGGAGAGGTTGGTCCATGAGACTATCTGTTAAAAGTGTGGGCCACAGAATAAGTCGTCCCCATCCAAATGATAGTCCTTGCCCTATTACCTCAGATTGCCACTGGAGGAAGGATAAAGATACTTACATGCACACACATCATGTGAAATCGTCAAGTGAACTGGCTAATATCTGACCAAATTCATCCCTGATGTAATTCAACTGAAGAAACCTTATGCCAGGCTTGAATTTGTCCCATTGCCTACAGTTTTGTAATTCAGTTTGCATTTTGGTAAACTCTGCTGCTATTCATCATTAGCAAAGAAAACACTTAGAAACATTAATATCTGGATCACTCATTTCATTTACACTCTAATTGCTCTTAAAAAGCTCCGGGTAGTGCAGGGGAGGTTTGTTAGTTTCACAATTTCATGATTAGAGGACAAATGCACCTTAGCTGCTTAATGTTAATAATATTCTGTAGATACTCCCCCCAGCATTTCAGTGCATTGCTTCTCATCAGACCACACGAGATCTGAATCTGCATCATCCCAGGATGGCCTTACCTCTGGGGCTGGACAAGGAGGGGTAGCTGCTGCGCAGGGAGTGAAAACTAAAAAGCACCAGGGGCATTACCCGAAGAATGGCAGACAGCACTGAAATCTCGCTATCTCAGGATTTTGTCAACCAAAGCATGGATTGCGCTAGACAGTAAATAACAGAGTCTATACATCCCAATCAGTTTTTTTGCATCTCTTTATTAAGTTTTGGTGGCACTAGGCTGCACTCTCCAGCCAGTACCTGCTCCCCCTTACACAGCTGACAAATGTCGCCAGGGAGAGCACAGATAATCACATCATCATAAATATGGTCAGCATCCCCGGCCAGGCAGCTCTGGAGAAAACCACACACAAGAAATACAGAAGTGAAACCCCAGCCCGGGCTGTAGCTGTAATCGGTGGTGCTTTGTCAGCATTTTATTCTTCTCACTCGTTCTTCTCTCTTCTGCTTACCCTGAGCTCGCTGCAGGCTGGGGGAGGGAAGGGAAATGCCAGACTCAGCTGAAGTGAAAGTTAGCAACAGCTCCAGCGTTGGGGCTGCCAGCGACTCTGCTTCTGGGGAGACCCAGCTCTTAGCTCGGCCTCGATGCGCAAAACCAGCTCGCAGTCCTGGCCCCCCAACCCGGTGCAGCTCGGCTCGCCGGGGGCAACTGATCCATTAGCCCCCCACAAGCCCCGGGGACAAGTGGGGGGGCAGCGTGACAGCAGCGACCCAGGCTGAGCTGGCCGGGGGGGCCCGAGCGGAGCCCGCCCCCATCCCCGCCGCACCGACCGCAGCAAAGGCAGCTCTTACCTGGGGGCCGAGGGCAGGGGGACCAGGCTACAGCGACTCCATGACAAATGGGTTTGTCCCGTCAGCTGAGAGACGCGGAGCCAGAGCGCGGCGGAAACCCCGCCCCAGGCCCCTGCATAGGCGGAGAGGTCAGCCCGGGCGCAGGGAATTGCTCGCTCGGCTCGTCACTCACCGGCTGCTGCGCCCCAGTAGGGCCGCACGTAGCGCGCCTGCACGTGATGCTGGGGCCTGGCGAGGAGAGGCGGGAGCTGCGGGCTCAGGGTAGTGAGAGGGGGGAGGGCAGAGGCCGGGAGACAGGGGGCGCTGGCGGAGGGAGAATGGCTGAAGAGAGCGGCTGGCGGCGCGTAGGGAGGTGGAAGGACTAACAGTTCCACCACCCAGCTGGGACGGCCGTTTGTTTCGTTGGGCTGATGGCAGTGACGTCACTGCGTGGCGCGGGACCCTGACCCACGTCGTGTCTGCCCAGCCCTCTCCTCTGGTTGGGACGGGAGCCCTGCCCGCCTGCGCGTGGGGTCCGGGCTCCCAGGGCCATGGCTGGGCAGTGGGCGGCCAGTGGAAATGCCTGGCACGCTGCGCCTAGCGCACATAGTTCAGAGAGCGGGGTCCTTGCCAGTGCGGGCAGAGCACAGAGGGGGGGGGGGGGGCAAGGGTTTGACCTCCCAGCCTTGAAAGTGCCCCCTTTAAAAGGACAACAGTAAAAAGAGGCTCGTTTAATGTGGTCAGTTTCGGTTTGGGGTGGGTTCTCTTGTTTCCTCCAAATTCCATCGGTGCTGCTGCTGCCTTTCAGTGAATTAGTGGTGCTAGCTATCGCTACATATTCCTGCCACTAACTTTAAGTTACTGCCAGCTCTAGGTTGTTCCTGACTGGATTGCAGATGTACCTACCACACAAAGATTTTCTCAGAGAGACATATTTCCACGGAGGATGAGAACTGTAGAAGAGGCCAGTAATATATAATCTACCTTATTACAAAAGAGGTGTAATAGAGCACCTTGTAATAGAGCACCTTTTTTCGCTTGCAGATGTCTACAAATTTTCAAATGGAGGTGTGGACCCCTTTGGAAATCTTAGACATAGGTTGCAGACCCCCAGTGGTTCATGGGCCACATGGTAACCATTGTTCTATGGTAACAGCAACCTTTTGTGGACCCCTTAGTCATTGTCTGTGGACCCAGACCACAGTTTGAAAACCCTTGGAAGAAATTAACAAACATTTAGAATGAAAGGTACTAATGCTTGATAATGAGTTAGGTATAAGGTATGTTTTCAGAGGTGATTATGCATTATAAATATTTTGAGACAAATTCAGAGAGAGGTTGTAACCTACAGGCCCCTGATGGCAGGAAAGGCAAATGTAAGATAAAATAGGACAAAGAGATTTACTTTACCCTACACCCTCCTGCTAATTGCTATGCCAGGGATGACTCCTCTTTCTCCTGGTAATGTTCCATTGGCTTGTAAATTACACCCACCTATCAATGTGTAATTTAGATCACTTCTGAATTTGTCCCTTTGTGTTTACCTCCCTTGCAACAAAGATTGACCTAAATAATATTTCCCAGGTAGCTTCTGACTCAATAGAATTTTCCTGTCCATTCCATGTTCCCCAGTTGTGCCTTTTGACTGAATTTGATGTTGCAAGAGAAATTCTGCAGTTTCAGCCATCGTCCTTCAACCTGAAGTCTGATGACCCTTCGCCTGTATAACTCACTTTTCACTGAAAATCTGGGTTGTGGAGAGAGGAGCTTAGTGATCTAAGCATCATGGTTTGAATAGTGTACCTATATTCATTAGAACCATAGGCTTAAATCTTGTTAGAGTCTGCTCAACCTTCAAAGGTTAGAGGATACACTTTACTCTTGTGTAGGTGAGTCAATCAAGCTCTTAACAACAAAGATGCTGTCTGTTTCAAGTGGGTTTTAAGAGCCAAATTTTCAAAAACAAAAAAGAACAAAAGCTATGATTGGTTTTATGCACAGATATTTGAAACAAGCATTTGCCATGATTGTGCAGGAAAACCAAGTGTTTGCACACACAATTGGTCTATTAGGTTTCTAAATGGTCAGTTGTGCATATGAATAAATATCCAAAAACAGATTTTGCCTCAGAATACGGAGATGATGACAACACAGGATGGAAAAGGAATGAGAGAAAACACAGGATAGTTGGTAGAAAAGTATTTTTCTTTGTGTTTAGAGTAACTTAGGTTACGGATTTTGATAGCAAATGTTACCTTAAAACAAAAAGCTTTTATTCGGGCAAAACACTGAGTGACTTCAGTGGTGTGTTTTTTGAGGTGCAAGACTGGGCCTCATATTTATTATGAAATTATTGTAGCATCAGCAATGTCTGTTTTATTTCAGAACTGGCTCTAGCATAAATGATATTTAACTGTTCTTTATTGTTTCTTCTAAGAATAATTATATAGTACTAAATGTATTTCTATGGTGTTTATCACCATAGTACTTGGGCATATTATCTGAGGATTCATTTAATTCCCATAAAGGGATTTAAATGTATATTAGACCTTTAACTTATTGTAGGTTTTACTAGAACAGCACCTGGTTACTGAGGAGAAAGAGGACTCCGAGGAAGCATTCTGGGATTTGTAAAGAAATCCACACTGCTGACTAATTTTAGGGCTCTAGGCTGAAGTTCCATGGGTAGGGAGGACTGGAACTTGTATCTCCTCTGCTGCAGTGAGGGACCAAGACTGACAAATGAGCTAAGAGAGGTGAAAACATTATCTAGTTTCCCTCCCAATCTTTCCTGGAGATTACGGGTAGCAGGATTGTTGGGAAATGTAGTCCCTCCTAGCAGCCATGTTTGTAGTCCTGGCAAAACCTGCTGGAGAGGATATATAATTAGCACCCTTCCCACAAAGAGGGAGACAGGTTTTGCTGATATACTTTTTTGGAGTGTGGAAGGTTAGGCAAGTAAGCCTATTTTATGTCTTTCTTTATTTTTAAGCCTATGTTTTGGCTGTGGAGAGGCATAAATAACACAGGTAGAGGAATTTTTTAGTTTATATACTCCAAGGATGGCTGTGCCTTTTTTCTGTTTTGGCCAGCCACAAGGTTCCTGACTGACTGCATAACTCTGCTAGGAAAGAGCCTGCAATAAATATTTTGTAGTGGTAGGTTTTGTAGATTGCTAGTGGAGTAAATTTCACACTCATGGGCCTATAAGAAAGTCATACTCCAGGCTCCCACAAATTCCACATTCCATGTAGGTAGATAACACGTGCATTTCCTTTTAGTTCACTGTTGCCATGTTTTTGCTGAAAATTTTTTTTTTACAACATCTATGGTATATTTCTTTGCACTTGTTTTAATAAACAAGCTGTCTTTTTCAAATAATTGTGATTATAAATCAGTTGCTATGCGTACACTTACCAACCTGTTGTTTTTCTCTTTTCTTCATGCCTCTGTTTCTCTTTCCTCCCTGCTGTTTCTCTTTTCCCTTCCTTTCACTCGTTTTTGGCTTCTCCCACTCTTCCTTTTTCTGCTTTTTTTTTGCTCCTCTTAATATACCTTCTTATTTCCTAACTGCCATGTCCCAAAAGCAGAGGAAAAATTTGAAAGGAAGGTGTAGACATAAAAATACACAAATATGTAAAATTTATTTCTGTAAGGTAAATAACATGTTCTCTAATATCAGCATTTATTTTGTAAATAACTTGGCAGTAATATGAAAGAGATCACAGCAGGTTTATGTGGGATGGAAGTAAAGATGTATATAAAATGTGGGACGGCCCTCGAAAGACTCACTCCTACACTATTTTCTCAGGCAAAATACCCATTGGAGTCAGTCAACGTAGGGACTGATTTAGCCAGATATTCAAGTAAGCACATGTCTGTCTTCAAGCAGGTTGGTAATCCTTCTGACTTCAATGGGACTATGTGTGCTTAATTAGGCAGGGGCTTAATTAAGTACCTTGCTGAATTGGGACCATAATGAATATCTGTCTGTCATTCTGTCCGTGTGTGTGTGTGTGTGTATGTATGTGTGTATATATATATAAATGGAAGTTTCCCCTGAGTAGAGTAAGGAATATATAATCATAAGCAGGAAAACCGTGAAACTCCAAACTTCAGTACATATAATTCTCTGCAATTAATTCAGTCCAGGGGTGTGTGGATTTGCCCTTCTGCAGCTACCCACCCTGAAGTAGAAATAGGGCAAGACCCACCACACCCCTGAATACCCATAAATGACCCACCAAATCTTGGGTAGCAGAGAAATTCCATGGATATCTTGGCATCTGTAAATCACAGGGGTACCTGCACAGAGAGTTTGTGAGGTTTTTTTAGTCATCTCCATCACCCTTGGCAATACTGCTCCCTGTGGAACCTTGTATCCATAGTCTTCCCACCCACTGGTGCTCCAACCCACTCTGAGGTAGTTTAGATGTTGGATCCAAATTTCTACATATCAGGTAGTTAAACACCTAAGTATTGTCACTTACACCCACAATTAATTGTGGATGCAAAATGAGAGGCCAGGTTAAAAATGTCCCTTTCAACAAAATACAGCAGAATTCTTAGAATTAGAATTGTCAGTTGCTGTGTTATTTATAGTAGCTTTGTGGGGAACAGCTTTTCCTAGAGCCACCTTTCTATTGAATCAGGCAACAGAACGATAACTTGATTTATGATGTGTGTCAGAGAACACATTCCTTTCAAAACACAAAAAGCTGTACATCTCATTACAATGCAGAGATGATTTCTCTATGTGTGAAACCTTTCAGGCTGAAAATAACAAAACCCAACAGAGAGTAAAAAATCTTGCAATAATAACCGCAAAGAATAGTAATCAAACAGCCAAACAAGCCATGTTAACTAGAACACCAGAAAAACATTGGGGGTGGGATCAATAAAGGGAGTTATGTGTTGCAAGACTCAGTGTCACAGTACTTCACATTTAGGTGCCTAAAAAAAACATAGAACAACACTGTAATACACAAAGTCGAGTTAGGTGCCTAGGTTCTGCCTTAAATAATGAATGGGGAGAGATAGTTGCCTTAAAATCTGATCAACAAAAGCCAACATGCTAAGTGCAGAGATGCTGACCACAGGGGTGTATGCTAACCCCTGCCTGTCTTTCAGAGATGGGCACCTATCTCTGCTTCCAATCTACAAATGG